ATAAAATTTATATATATATATATATATGATGATGAGTATGCCCTTAAACATGTCAAAGGCAAAATAAAGACAATTATATAAATTTTATTGATGGTACATATGAATGATTTTCCAAAACATAGGTCCATGATTGCCAACATCACCTGGGAACTCATATAAATGCATGATTTTTTTTTTTCTGGTTTTTCGAGACAGGGTTTCTCTGTGTAGCCCTGGCTGTCCTGGAAGTCACTCTGTAGACCAGGCTGGCCTCGAACTCAGAAATCTACCTGCCTCTGCTTCCCAAGTGCTGGAATTAAAGGCGTGTGCCATCACTGCCTGGTAAATGCATGGTCTTAAAATAAAGAAATAGAAAGAAATTTGTGTTCTCTGTGAATCAGAAAGTGGAGAGAGAGAGCAATCTGCATTAAGTTTGAGAGGCACTGCTCTGAATCCTCCCAGGTCTCACAGTAGAGCAGTGGATGAAGTTCAGGAGCAAGGTGGCTTTGAGAAACCACAAAGCTACTCATTAGAAGAAAGCATCAGAATGCAGCGTGTGCTTGCTTAAAAATCACAAATTACACAGTTGCTTTGCTGTGAGAGACTGGGGACACCACAGCAATGGAGCTGTCTTAGTGAGGGTTTTCATTGCTGGAAAGAGACACCATGACCAAGGCAACTCTTACAAAGCCAACACTGAATGCAGGCTGGCTTCAGTTCAGATGTTCAGTCCATTATCACCATGGCAGGAAGCATGACAGCATGCAGGCAGACATGGTGCCGGAGAAGAAGCTAAGAGTGCTACATCTTGATTGGAAGGCAACCAGGAGAAACTGACTTCCAGGCACCTAAGAGGATGGTCTCAAAACCCCCCCACACAGTGACACACTTCTTCCAACAAGGCCATACCTTCTAATAGTGCCACTCCCTGAGCCAAGTATATTCAAGCCACCACAGGAGCCTAAGCTAAATATCTGTTCATTCAGTAGGAGGGTTTGTTTTGTTTTAGTATAAAAAAGGATGTTTGAAGCTCTGGAGAAGTTACAGTCACAGTAGACTGGCATCCATGATCTTATTGGAGCTCTTAATGGGTCTTTGGGATGTCCAAGGACTTGCATTTGGCAGTTGTGAGAAACAAAAGTGTCAAAGTAGATGTATATAGGACCTCCGTGTTCCTACAACAGGCACAATATGGTGACCTCAGCTTAGTCAAATTCCAGGGTGTGTCCTAAGGAACTACAGTGTACAGCATCACACAGGCAGAACCACAAATACCTTCTAGAGCTTCTTAACTTATGGGTCCAGTTTTAGCACAATATCTTGAAACGCTTCTAGAATTGCTGGTGGGGTGAGAGGGAGGTGGGAAGTTAGTTACATTGAACTATTATAAGTACCCCAAATTTATAAGATTAAACATAGAAGTCTCCTAATTTACTGAGGTCTACAGATTTTGTAAATGATTCTTGGCATCATATATCTTAGCATAGAAATTTTTTTGTTGATATACAAATAGAATGTCCTAAATTATTTTAAAAGAAAAAATACCACCCTTACTTATTTGTAATGGAATATAAAGTATGAGAATTTTACAAAACAATAGTTTTATTTAAAAAGATTTCAATATTCAGGAAATATATGGCATCACTGACTTACAGGTTTCTGAAGAGAGCCTCAAGCCCCTTCTGTTAACTGAGTTATAATAACCCGAACTTCTG